TTAACAACCATCTAAGAAAATTTAATTAACTTTTTTATTTTAATTTTGCAGACTTATAGAATTAAAATAAAAAAAGATTACAAATTTACTTATATGGTTGCTAAGATATATTCATCTAAATTTTGGTAAAGGATTAAAACATTTAATAAATAAAGGCAAAAATAAAACTTTGAACAAATATATCTCAACAACCATCAAGGCAAATTTGGCAAACTTTTTTATTTTTATAATACAAGTAAAAATAGATCCAAAATAAACAAAAATTTATCAAAATTGCTTAAATATTTGTTGAGATATATCTGTTTAAAGTTTGGCAAAAAATTTCAATATTGAAACAGAGATGAAGTTTTTTTAAATTTTAAATAAAAATACCTTAACAGCTATTTAAGCTAAGATGATAAATTTTTTTAGTTAATTCTACAGACTTGTAGAATTAAATAAAAAAGATTCACTGAATCTGCTTTTATAATTGTCAAGATACCTTCATTCAAAGTCTTGAAAAAAATTTTTTTATTAGATATTACAATTCTTTAAATAAAGATCACTGCAACTATCTAAGTAAATTCAATGAACTTTTTTTATTTTTATTTGACAAGTCTATAAAATTAAAAAAAAAAAAATTTACCAAATCTGTTTAGATGGTTTTCAAGATATCTTTGTTCAAAATTAAAAAAAAACTTTAATTTTAATATCTATCACTTGCTATACTAATAATAGATAAATCATGTACATGCTATATTATTATAATTCTTCAGTTTCAGATACAAAAGCAATTATAAATTGCATTTTGATAATTGACTAATTAAATTTAAAAATTAGATGTAACATATAAATTTTTTGTATAAAAAAATAAAAAAATTTTTAAAAATTCATTTTGTTTATGAAACTACTTTTTGAGTTATAATAAAAAAAATTTTTTGCAAAACTTTGATTTATACTAAGCTTTACTTTTAACATTTAACTTTAACTCTAATCCTAATCAAATATTAATTTTTTATATATATAACTATGTACTACATAGATCTACAAATCATAATTTATATATCAGCAATAAATTAGCTTATTGCAAAGTGCAGTATATATATTTATTCTTTATTTAATATATAGAAAATAAAAAATATAAGCAATAATATATAAATTAAAAAATTGTAGAGAAAAAAAGCAAATACCAAAAAAACTTTACTCTAAAATCAAATTATATTTAATTTATAAAAGTAAAATTTATAAATAATTTTTATATATAAATATTTTATTATTAAAAAATATAGTTTATACTTATTTAAAGACTATTATAAAATTTTAATAAAAATTTTTTGCTTTCAAACATGTAAAAAATATAGACAATTTCTATTTGTACACAGGGTGTTTGTATATGAGATATATGAAAAACTAATTGCTATCTTGAATTTTTGATTATAAAACTACTTTTTGGTTTTAACAAAAAAAACTCCTTGTGAAATTTTGGTATAAAAAAAATCTCGCCCCAATCCCAAACCCACCCTTACCCTAACTATAACAAGGGTTTAAATTTTTGTTTATAAAAATTATTTTTTAACATGTTATACAAATCTGTAAATCAAAAATTAATACCCATATCTATACACATAGTATATAATTTGTTATTTTCAAAAATATAATAGCTATATTTGTTATTAAAAATTATAAGAAATATTATGTTGTTAAACTTTTAAGCCTATTATTTGTATTAAACTATTTTATAATATTTATTTAAATTTAATATAATTGCTATATTTTAATATTCTTTCTGTTTTCAAATAAGTATATAAAAAATATAAATAGTTATATTTGTTATTATTTAGCTTTCTTATATTAATTTATTGCTATATAATTTATATATTTTTAAACTATTATTTTTCAAAGACCTATAGCTATTCGAAATCACATTATTATAACTTATTAAAAATTATAAAGTACATTATATTTTTAAACTTTAAGCTTATTTTATTGTCTTTAATAATAAATGTAGCTTTATATTTTTATATATATATATCTAAAAACAAGAGAATATTTGTTTTTTTTTTTTGGTTTTAAGATAAGGCCTTGCTTATATCTTTATTAAATAATTTATATAAGTAATTATATAGAAACTATATATATAAAGACTTAATTTGTATACAAACAAATAAATATAAATTACATGCAAAAATAGAAGCTCAGACTGATTTATCCACAACCTAAACCTACTAGAGTAGTCAAGACTCATCTAGATTTGAATAGTTAAAATGTAGTTAATAGGTGTGCTATATTTGATCTATATAGTAAACCAAATATTGTATTTAAAAAAAGCTTGTCCTGATGAAGGGCATATATTAGAGTTAGAATATAGCTGGTCAGCATAGCTACAGGGGCAACTATATATATAAATAGTTTTGTTTTTGTGATTTCTAGAAAGTAAGAAGAACTGAGATATAGTATTAATTCATAATGAGATTTGATAAGCTTTTTTCAGTAAGAAAAGTTAGAGCAGTAGAGAATCCAAATATTATTATAAAATTGATCTAAAATTTTTAGAAGTATTTTAATAATAAATTGAGAGGCTTGGGAGTAAAAAATTTTAAAGAGGTTTAGTAATTAAATTAGAGTGATAGATTTGAGATCTTTAAATATAGAATCAAGAGTATAGAGATATAGCTGTGATGAGATGAAGTTAAAAAAAGGATGTGAGGCAATAGTATATATTAGTTATTTAGTTAGTGTGTCAAAAGGTTGAAATTAGCATTGGAGATAATATTACAGATTGAGGTGTTAATAGTTTAGGTTAAGAGTGTATAGTCAGAGCAGATGTACTAGCAAGAGAGAATATCAGAATAGTTGCATAAGACCCAATTAGGAGATGAAAAGTAGAGGGATAGATAGAGTGAAAATATGTATGTGTTAGAAGAATGTTAAGAAGCATTTTGATTTTAAAGGATTTGAAGTAGTTTAATTTAGGGTTGGTGAGATTGTGTGATACTTTTTAGTTGTTGTTAAAATATAGCAAAAAGGCTTTTTAGTTGATTAGGTAAGAGAAGTAAGACCATTTGTAGGCATGATATTATAAAGACCATAAGGCAATATTTTGAGCTTTTTGAATTAATTTAATGAATTATCTAATAGAGTTTTTGATAAAGCTTTTGTTCTATTGCAAAATAAAGAATAAGTTGTAAAGATTAATGTAGTTAAAGTATAGAATTGGTGAAGTAGAGTAGCTATTTGCAAGTAAATTTGCAAGATTATTAAAGTGGTTGTCAGAATAAGCTTGAACTTTGTAGAAGAAGAGTTGAATATTGTAGGCTTTGAGAATATTAAGAAGTGTGTATCAAATAGGCCAGACATTAAATTTGAATTGTTTTGGTAAATAAGATAATAAGGTCTAAAGTTTGTTGTATTTAGAGATAACAGATTGTGAGTCAGTAAAAATCTTTATAGTTGAGTTGTAAGAAAGTATAAAGATAGCTAAAATTATTGCTAGTAGTTCTGCTTTGTATAAAGAAGGCCAGTTAAGAATTTGAGCAAAAAAACTTTGAATAACTTGATCTTGGAAACTTGAATCTAGCCAATGCCTATTAAATATTAGTTGGTGCCAAGTTGTTTAATGGAGCTATTAGTATAGAAAGTAAATTGGTATTGGAATAGGTTGGATAATAAAATCTTAATTAATTTTGAGAAGGCATTACTGTTATAGAAGATAGCAGAGATGTGTAAGTCAGTTATATTAATATTAATAGGTGGTTGAGATGAATTAGTTAGATATTTAATTTCAGTAGAGTGTATAAGATCAATGTAATTAGCATTAAAATTAAATTGTTTGTTAGCTTTTTTTCTACCCAAAAAATGAGTAGAAAGAATAGCAGATACTTCTAAAGTATAGTAGTTAGATATGTAGTTTGAGTTAAGATTGCAACCCTGGCAAAGAGTGCAGAAAATAGAAGGTAAAGAATAGTAATAGAGAACAAAAGTATCTATATTATGTTGCTAGTATATTATAGATATAGTATTAGTATAAGTGAAAGTCTTATAAATTTGGCTGATAATAATATCTTCATTGTAAAAAGTTAGAACCTATGGTTTGTAGGAATTGAGAAAAGAATTAGTTTGATAAGCAAATCAGTTGATGCTAGTAAGTTAAAAGTGAAGTAAAATAGTGTATTAAAAATTGTTTTTAAGAATAATATCTTCTAGATAAGAAAACCAAAGTGGTTTTTTTCCTGTTTAAATATGTAGAAGTCTGAAAAATAAGTGTAGCCAGTTTAAAAAGGTATTGTTATTAGATGAGCATAATTGTTCAAGATATAAAATATTTTTATAGCAAAGTTGTTGTCTAAAAATGTTGTATTTAATATAGTTTATCAGGATATTTTCAAGAGGAGTATTACTGTCATTTATGGTTTTAGATCAATATAAGTTGGGAAATATATATATAGAGGTTTTAACATAGTTTAAAAGTTGTATAATTTTAAATATAGTAGAGTACTTGTTAGAGCTATTAACAATAAGGTAGGGATGATAGAGAATATTAGTAGTAGACCAAAGATTGTTTTAGAGTTGTTGAAGATAGATATGAGTAGTAATACCAAGAGTAAAAAAATTATTAATACAGTTTAAAAAATTACTAATGTGGTGTTGGAGTTGAATATTCCAAATATTATAAATATTGTAAAGATTGTGATTTAAGAGGGTACTATTGAAGTAGAATGAAAAAGATATACTTTGCACTTGGCTATATAATAGATATTAAATAGTTTGTTGTAGATATTATGCAAATTCATAAATCAGCATCAATATTATGCATTATCACAGCACAGCCATGATGATGTATGATATTAATGCTAATCTATGAATTTGCATAATATCTATGACAAATCTATTTAATATTTGATATATTTCCTGGATCCTAATATCCTGTGATTTTTTTACTGATATTTTCTCTTTTCAAATCTTTTTTTACATTATATTTATTTACACATACTTCCTTTTACATATAGTTTTAATAAATAAAAATGCCAAATTCAAAAAAAAAAGAATTTTGTAATACACTAGTTCCTATTTTTACTAGTGCATGCACTTATATTCCAAATACTTTTCCTAAAGATCTGGATACTTCTTCTGAAGATAGTATCATTACAAATACTTCAAAATTAGAACTTGAACAAAATTAGAGTTTTATAAAAAAAAAGCCACTGTTCTAAATACAGAAAGAGCTATATGAAATTGGATGGATAAGTTTGAAAAATTTTGTCACAATTATAACTATATTATACCAATTAAAAGTATTGCTAATCCTCATCTTATTGAATGTCAAGTATGTGAATATGTTGCACAAATGGCAAAAAAAAAACAGTAGAGAATATAAAGCTAAAACTGTTCAACAAGCAGTAGAGATGTTACGGTCCTACAAGGATCATGGTCTGGACAGGTCTTTTGAACCAGTCCAACCAGTTTTCAGTCCTAAATTGAGGACTAGTCTGGACCAATTCATAGCCAATAGAATGATCTTATTGGCTAAAATATATATATAATTTATATATCTATAAATTTCCAATGTCAGCATAATCTAGTAACTTGTTGATTCGGTTATTGTAGTAATGTGTAGAATCATTCCAATGATGTTACGGCTTAAGCCATAACTAACTAAAAACTTATATCACTAATAGTTAAGACAAATCATTGGGATTATTTTACTGCATTATTAGGTTATTAGCAAGATAGCTATAAGGTCTTCAGCGATCATTAAAATCACATAGCTTATTTCAAAACCTGCCAATAGACTGGTTTATGGACCAGTCCTAGACCACAGTCCAGTCTACAGTCCTCTGGTAAGACGGGTATTTAGGACCAAGACCAGACTGGGACAGACCATAACATCCCTAACAAGCAGTTGATAGAATCAATAGATATCTTGTTAAATATAAATCTGCTTAGGGTTTAAATTTGCATGATAAATATCAGTTTCCTAACTTGTATAATATTGTAAATAGTAAGATGAAAGATTTGTAAGAAAAAGAATTAGGTGAAAAAGAGGGTTCAGTTGCATTAACAGCTTAACAGGTTAAAGAAATTTTTAATAATAAATTTTTAAATCCTAATACACCTGAAGGCTTGTTATATAGAGTTTTTTTTGCATTTCAATAATTTTTGCTTGCCAGGATGGTGAGTATTGTGCTCTTCAGATTAGCCAATTTCAAATTCAATCTGATGGTAGCATTCTATTTTATCATTATCATAGCAAAAATAATCAATGTGGAATTCTTGGAGGTGCTGTGCAAAATATACACTTACTATCTTATTTACTTGGAATAACTGGGCCTGTTAATGATATTGTGAAATATATTTCAAAACATCCCTCAGATGCTTCAAGTAATTTTTATTTACATCCTAATTAGGATTGGCAGGTTAATAGTATTTGGTATTACAAAAAATATTGTAGAATTAATAAAGTTCAAAATTTTATGAAGGATATTGAAAATAAAGTTAAAGTACAACTTCCCAATGGAATTTTGATGAATCATTCTGGTAGAAAGACTGCTGCCCAACAACTTTAGATATTTGAAATTGCAACTTTAGATATTTAAAATTATTACTTTAAATATATAAATTGTATCTAAAATTGCAATTTTCAATATTTATAGTTGCAATTTTAATTAACTAAAATTGCAATTTTAAATTTTTAAAGTTGCAAATTTAAATATCTAAAGCTAAAGATTTATATATTTAAAGTTGCAACTTTAAATATCTAAAATTACAATTTTAGATATCTAAAATTGCAACTTTAGATATTTAAAATTGCAACTTTAAATATCTAAAATTGCAATTTAGATATCTAAAATTGAACTTTAGATATTTAAATTGCAACTTTAGATATATAAAATTCAACTTTAAATATTTAAATTTATAATTTTAAATATCTAAAGTTGCAATTTTTAGTTATTTAAAGTTGCAATTATAAATATTTAAAGTTGTAACTTTAGATATTTAAAGTTGTAATTTAAATATCTAAAGTTATAATTTTAGATATTTAAAGTAATAATTTTAAATATCTAAAGTTGCAATTTTAAATATCTAAAGTTGCAACTTTAAATATTTATAATTGCAACTTTAAATAAATAAAATTACAACTCTAGATATTTGAAATAGCAATTTTAAATAGGATTAATAAATTTGTAACTACGTTTATTGTAACTGCACTGTGTAGCATTAAATTAAGCCAATTAAATTTCAAGATTAGGTGTAATACAAAATCAAGACAAAAACTATTTTTTCTAAAAAAATTTTTAATAATACAAAATTTTGATTATGAAACCATTTTCTACATTCTAACAAAAAAAATTCCTTGCTAAATTTTGATATAAACTATATCTTGCTTCAACTATAATATCATCCTAACTCTAACCTTTAACTGCAAGAGCTTATTTTATAAAAAAATATTATTTTGATATTCACGTTACACCTGATCTTAGTTACGGTTACAAAAAATTTATTGTAACCACCAGTTACAAATTAATTAATCCTTTTAAATATATAAAATTGTAACTTTAGATATTTATAATAGCAACTTTAGGTAACTAAAATTACAATTTTAGATATTTTAAATTGTAGCTTTATCGCTGTTTTCGAAATAGTTGAGAATAGCAAAATTTATAAAAAAAATTTTTTTTATGAAAACCCGAAAACCTGCAAGTGCATATATTAATTAAAATCAATTATTGATCATTGTTCTAAACTAATCTGGTTTTTGGGTTTTATATAAAATTTTTTTTTTGTAAATCCTGCTATTCTCAACCATTTTGAAAACAGCAATAAATATTTAAAATTGCAAATTTAGATATCTAAAATTGCAAATTTAAATATTTAAAAATGCAACTTTATATATTTAAAATTGCAACTTTAAATATTTAAAAATGCAACTTTAAATATTTAAAATTGCAACTTAAAATATTTAAAAATTGCAACTTTAAATATTTAAATTTGTAGCTTTAAATATTTTAGTTTGCAATTTTAGATATCTAAAGTGCAATTTTAAATATCTAAAATTGCAATTTTAGATATCTAAAGTTGCAACTTTAAATATTTAAAGTTATAATTTTAAATATCTAAATTTGCAATTTTAGATATTTAAAGTTACAAATTTAAATATCTAAAGTTGCAATTTTAGATATCTAAAGTTGCAAATTTAAATTGCAATTTTAGATATTTAAAGTTGCAATTATGATATCTAAAGTTGCAATTTTAGATATCTAAAGTTTCAATTTTAGATATCTAAAGTTGCAATTTTAGATATCTAAATTTGCAATTTTGGATATTTAAAGTTACAATTTTAGATATCTAAAATTATAATTTTAGTCATCTAAAGTTGCAATTATAAATATCTAAAGTTGCAATTTTATATATTTAATATTGCTGTTTTAGATATTTAGAGTTGCAATTTTAGTTATTTAAAGTTGCTATTATAAATATCTAAAGTTGCAACTTTAGATATTTGAAATTGCAATTTTAGATATTTAAAATTATTATTTAAATATCTAAAATTACAACTTTAGATATTTAAATTGCAACTTTAAATATCTAAAGTTGCACTTTAAATATTTAAAATTAAACTCTAAATATCTAAAGTTGCAAATTTAAAGTTGCAATTTTAGATATCTAAAGTTTCAATTTTAGATATCTAAAATTTCAATTTTAGATATCTAAAATTGCAATTTTAGATATTTAAAGTTGCAATTTTAGATATCTAAAGTTGCAGTTCTAGATATCTAAAATTGCAACTTAAGATATTTAAAGTTGCAATTTTAAATATTTAAAGTTGCAATTTTAGATATTAAAGTTACAATTTAGATATCTAAAATTGCAACTTTAAATACCTAAAGTTGCAACTTTAAATACCTGAATTTGTAGCTTTAAATATTTAAAATTACAACTTTAGATATCTAAAATTGCAATAATAAATATGTATATTTTTTTATTAAATTGCTTATACACTGTAATTTTTATTAACTAAGAACTTAAGAACTTATTACATTTATATATTACAGTATTTAAGTTGTGCTACATTAAACTATTTAATGACACCCACCCTAAGCAATTTAGTCTATCTTGCTATTTTTGAATTTAATCAACAATTAAATTATGAGGGACCAACATGAGGTTGGTTCCAATGTGAAGTCAATTAGTATTTTTTATGACTACTAATTGTTGGCGGACTTTAAATACTAATCGACCTCATGTTGGAACCAACCTCCTCACAGTTATTATTACGTAATGACAAGCTCCGCAGTCAGTAGCAATCTATCATTATCCAAGCCTAATTTCTGGTTACAGATAACATATAGATCATATGAAAATGATCAACATACATGTTTGTTTCCTTCCTTAACAGAAATTTTATTCGACAAGTACGTAGTTACGTCAATGAATTTCGTTATAGCTTAATTATTACGGCATTGATCATATCCTTACCAACAAAAGGTACAAAAGAGGAGATTTTTCGCTTTCGGCTAATCAGAAAACAAGAGAGGTATAACGCGAAATTTTTTTTTTAAAAAAACTAGGCGCTTGAGTTGCTTAAAGGGAGCTTGAGATGAGTGTATTGTATTATTAATTCTTTTTTCTTTAGGAAAAATAATGAGATAATGAGAGATTTGCATCGGAATAGGGTAAATATTTACTTAGTTTGATATTGATGGAATGCACATGATCTCCTGTTGAATTAAAGCGTAATACATAAGTAGTTGCATTTAGGTGTGTTAAATCCAATTGCAGATTTCAGTTTACAAAACGGATCAAGATTAGATCAATGGATCATTTTAACATCCTAGTTGCATTGTTAAATACGATTGTCGTTTGTTTGAATTTGGTCTTATATTTGTTTGTTATTTATCGAAGTTTTATTTCAAATAACATCGGAAATTATATATATATATATTGATCGATATATAGCACTTAATCGTTTTATATCGATTATAAAATATCGTTATATATCGATTAATTGGATAAAAATCGATATATATCTATAATCGATATACAGTCAGACCTCTCTAAATGCATAGCGTCGGGACCATAGTAAAAATTTTCAAAA